CTTAACTCTTCTGCCCTGGGAGTCAATAAAGCACACGTTCCCATGGCTATCTCTAGTTATATATCCCACATGGCTACCATAAACATCCCTCCAGAGATGTTGGGACCTTCAGTCTCCCGGTGATAGGAAACCAGTTATAAAGTTGTAAAACTCAATTTTTTCAGGTGGAGGGCCAGTTTCCAAAAAAATAAGCACTCAGGATAAAAACTAATAGTAATTTTATTTAAATTCAAAATAAACCAATTAAGACACATTTCCTGATTATTTTTTCTATTTTAAGAGCTTTGTAGTTTCAGATTCTGTACTAGGAGAAATCAACAAGAAGGCTAAGAGAGCTCCATCAAAACCATGGAAGGTGTATGAAATAACCAATGCTAGAGATGAAGAAAAATGTGTTTTGTGGCTGGGAGCAACCAAGAAGCTCTTGGTTAATCAATATTTCTCCTCCTCCGTGGATATCTTCTTTATAATAATCACTTTCCAGGTTCAGACATTTGACTCATCTAGGTGGCTCTCTAGTTTGTTCCTAGCTTTAAGAACACTGAGCCCTGGTGGCCTTGTGGTTAGAATGTAGTATTGCATGCAAACTCTGCACAGCCAGGAGTTTGATCCTGAATGGGCTCAAGGTTGACTCAGCCTTCCATCCTTCCAAGGTCGGTAAAATGAAAACTCAGGTTGTTGGGACAAAATGCTGACTTTGTAAACTGCTCAGAGTTCTGTAAAACACTATAGAATGATATATAAGTGTTATGGCTATTGATCTATAATGTACTTGGAGGTATTTGAGTTAGTCTTATCCCAGACTTCAACCTGCTTCAAACCAAGTTCCTACATCATGCGCCTTTGTGATGTGGGAACCACCTATTCCAACAATTGTTTCCGTTAGCTGTTGCATTATCATCATTTCATCTCCCACCCATCCACAATTTGACATCCTAATTAAAGATCTGAAATAAATAGTCTAGATATCTGTAACCTGAAGTGTTTCAATTATTCTGCCATTGCTTACAGTGGACACCCTTTTGAAGAATGCCAGAGCTGGACACAACGGACTGGTGAAGTATGAAGACTTAATTCAATCAATCACGCTTCCAGTTGATGATTATTGAATTGCAAAAAGATACTTGGCTAAAGGCAACCATGCAGCCTTCATCGATTCTTCCTGGAACCTGGGCTCTGCTTGCCTTTTTGTCTTTAAAAATAACTGCTTTGTGGCAAACAAAAATAAATATGTTAAACAATTAATAAAAAGCAGAAATGTTGGCTCTTTCTTGTGTGAAATCTATTGGGCTTATTTTCCGTTTCAGCTAAGTTTCTTTGATTTTTTTTAAGTAGTCAAAAAGAAGGTGCTCATGAACTGGAAATACTTTTCAGTATCATGCAATCTATAAAGTTTGATTTTGTGAGGTGGCACATTGTAAAGAATCTGTATGATTCAGCTGTGTTGTGATCACTGAACTCGATGTGAGGAACGCATCAGAAGCAGCTACTGGAACCAGAGGTTCTCACGGGGTTTTAAGAAGAATCTGGTAACAAGGGGCTGAGCAGTCATCCCACTCGCACGACGACGTACCCAGATACTCATAAAGTGTTGTACAGACTCTAGATTGGCAGCTCTTGGTTTCAAAGGCAGCCAGAAATAGCAAGCTACAACTAAGGTCCTTTCAATTTGCACTGGTTTTTTGAACAGTATTTTCATTACAAAATTACCAAGAATTTATCTCTTACAAAGTCAGTCTATATTGCGCCTACACAGCAAGATATTCCACAAGAGAGAACATAATAATGTTTTTATTACATCTAAAGATGTTTTACATAAACAAGTAACATTCAATAGGGTAAACCATTTCTCTTCCAATGCATGTAATAAATATTTTCACTTGGTACTTTTATACAAACTGACATTGGTCTACTATACATTTTTAAAAGCCACTTTTTAAAACTTGTTTGGCATGCTGTATGGAAACTTAGGAGAAAGTTTAAGGCAATGAATCACAGATCTGCGTTTATGGAATCACTTTTTCTGTTTTTCACTTTATATACACAGGTTCTTCCCTTTTGTTAATCAGAACAATTAACAGCAGCACACATCGGGGCCTCTGGCAGTTTTAGTTCAATAGAAATCAAAGCTCTTACTGAAGAAAAATAAAATAAGAAACCATAATTTCAAATTATGAAAAAAGCTATGAAATGTTTAATATAATGGGAAAGCTTAGCCAAAGTACAGCAGAATCACTAGTAAGAATCAGCTTCAGGTTGATACGTTAGTTCTGTTTCAGTAGAAGAAGAAACGTGGGAATGCAGTTAAAAATACTGTGAATTTTGCTTGCAATTTTGGTTTTGCATTCAGGTTTTTAACCAGGAAAATGATGCATCTAGTTAATGCCCACAAAAGTGATTCAAAATCACTTTTATTATAGAAGACTTTTGCATCTGTGTGTATACACACAGAGCACAATGTACACAAAGTACACAATGTACAAACAAGACATACAAGTAATAAGCACACCCACACACTCTCCTCTCTGTGGGGAAAAATGATAAGCCGCCTCCCCCACAAAAGCAAATATACAAAACGAAATATGTAGATCTTGCCCTGTCAAATTAAGCAAAACAGACCCTTTTGCTTCCCAGAAAAATTCTACAATTGTCAAAAATTAGTTTGGCAAGGAATCTTCCTACAGAAGAAAATTCGGTAGTCAAAATATGTTGTAACTCCCAAAGTCTGATGCATGGTCTGACTTAATTAACTGCCCAGGTCTCATTTAGGTTGAAAAGACTTAGAGGAGAAGAACTGGCATTCACTCCCTCCGGCTTCTCTTTGGGATGTTACTGAATACCTCACATTCAAACGACCAGGTGCTGCTGGTGGCAATTACTGGAATACCAACAGGAGGTACCTTCCTTTCATAATTATCAAGTCAATTTAACATGGAGGAAGTCCTATGTTTCCAGCAATGTCTAATTCTTCATCAGACTGGGAGCCGGATCAAAATTCTTCTGACGGACCTCAAGCTTAGAATGCACCTCAGTCAAACACCCCACCCCAAAAAAGCTCAACACCCTCTCCACAAACCCACTCAAAGCAGTGCATGGATTCAGCTTCCTAAGGTAGATGCAGCAGGGGAGCCAGTACACATGCAGATCACAGTACGTACGATTCACAGTCAGTGCAAACAAACTTCACACGGCTACTTAGCCTGATGCATTTACTGTACATGCACTGATTCTCCATCACAAGTAAACAGAGCATGACTGCAGCTCGCTTTTACGCACACTGTGCCCACACTCTCTAGCTTAACAACCTGGAAAGCGCACATCTTACAATGTGCTATGGTGTGTTGTTCAAACACATATTTTAAGTATTTAACAAAAACAATTATTTGGACTTATGCAAAAATGTCAGATCGAAGGCCACAGACTTTCAAGAGAATGGTGCCAATTCAAGTCTAAAGCCATCCATCTGGCTATTCCCAATCTTCACTTGGAACACAGAGAGGATTAATTTTAAACGTTAGGTATAATTCTTAAGCCACTATTAGTCTTAATGCCCCAAGCTATAGTGAATTTAGAAAATATTACTGTTTTCTACATGTTTCTTTAACTTTTACTGCCACTTAATAAATTAGAAACTAGCAAGGAAACATATTGGCCAAACATTAAGAGAATACATGCATGGAACAGAATACACACCCTCGCTCTCACACGCACATATCTATAAATACATATATACACACACATATACATATAAACAAACATTCCTAAAATGCAAATCAAAATGTAAATGGCAAATGGGATGTATTTCAGAAAATCCAATGTAACATTTCTGAGCTCTATATAAAAAAAATCACAAGATTAAAAATTGGTAGCTTGTTACTGATTTAAGTTTCACTAAAAGACAGCCTTGAAAATCGTCATCATTTGCAGACATGGTTAAAAGGACCAGCTAATATGCTTCCTGATTAAGACAAAACAAAAAGGCCAGCCTTGTTTCAACACTTTGCTTCCTCCTGCTGAAATCTGCATCATTTTTAAACCTTGGTTTTAAAGGTGACATAAAATCTTCTAATTTCAACACAGATTTTGGCATGCAGCAAATTTCACTTGCATTCCCTGTCATTTTCTTTTTAAAAACCTCCTTCCAATTTCCATGTTTTGTTATTTAATTGGGGAGAAAAATGCTTCTTAAAAAATCAGCCAACTTGGAAAAAAATTTCTAACTAAACAGTCATCCCTAGGTATGGAATTTACAAATGCTAAAAGGGTAGGAGGGCCCACATTTTCCTTCAGAAGGATTTAACAGATAAGAAAAGGTGAACTCATTTAACACATTGTGAAGGAGAGGGATGATAATCTTGTAGATTTTTATTTTCCAATAAGATGCAATACAAAATAAAGGACTTTTAGTCATAATTTAATGGGCCACTCTCTTTAGCCCAATCCTAGGGATTGTTTACTTAAATGTTAGTTTTGCTAAATCCTACTTAATTCAATAGGGCACATTTTCCCAAGTCCCCCCCAAAAACTTTTCTAGGATTGGACCTTGGTGCATATGATGGCCAATGACATTGTCAGCTGCACAATAAACTCACTGAAATTACATTATTCCTCTTAAACGTTGATGGGTTGGCTCTATTTAGTAAACATGTTCTAAGAATTCCACCAATTTCTTTGTCTTTAGCACTCCAGACATAACCTTTTAATTGCCAGGGTAATGCCAAGGAACTATTTCAACCAAGTGTGCCCTCACTGGCACCTAGATTTTAAGAAGCCGTTTCGTCTCATCCAACGGAGCAGAATAACCCCGTATGGCAGAGAGTTAGCAAAGAGGAGAACTGTGAAATCTGAGTTATGAGCAAACCAAGGCAGAGTTAGCTAATCTAAACAATCCAAAGAAGAAATATGGGTCCACATCAGAACAAACAGCCAAAAGACTTTCCAAAAACCTACATCCAGCGGACACTCGAGAGAAAACGCTATGGGGCTTTGGTAACTCAAAACAGCCTCTGTCCTACTTCAGGATAAACAAAGAAGAGCAGAAAAGCAGGAAGTTCAATTGCAAATGTTGAATTAGTTTCAAAGCAAATGTGCAGGCAAACTTTCCCAATGGAGCCTGCCCTAAAGAAGGAGGCATTCTCTCCAATTCTTGTGGATGCTGTCTGTTTCCTCAAGAATCAGAAGTCCTCTATAATGTTCAGTGTTTCAAGCGCACCATTTTCCCCATTAGCACGGCTGTGAATAAACAAAAAGTTACGTGGTTCAGAATCAAAGCTTCAAAACAAGCCCACCAGCGCACAGATCAACCGGGAGGTGAAAAGCCTTCCATAGCCCAAGCAATTAGGTTGGCCTTTGTAATATTTTTTTTGTTTGTTTTTCACCAGTTAAATTATCTTAGGTTTATATACAAAAGTACAACTGAAAATATAGTTTTGTTCTCTGTACACATCTTTTGTTTTTTCCCTACAAAAAAGGAAAAATCTTATCTGCATTTCTAAACAAAAATAAGGTGAAACAAAATCACAAATCTCTTCACCCACAAGTCCAGGGACACCTCAACCGAGCTCAGTCCAAAGAAATAATGTCTGGGATGACGCCGAAGAGAGACGCGGGGTCTGTGCTACCTCTGCTGGCCACGGGGTGGCTGTGAGCCTCCCGAATACTGGTGGAGGATACGAGGCTGCTGTTGCTGCCGCTGTTGCTGCCATTCGTGGCGGGGAGTGTGGTGCCCCCTCCGGTGTTCAGCTGGTCCAGGAACATCTGCGACGAAGTGTAGGGGAAAAACCGGGAGTGCAAGAGTTCTTGATCATCGGAAGTGGAGACAGCGGCGGCAGCGGCCGCCAAAATGGAACTGCTGTAATGCTGGGGAGAAGATAAAAGGCTGCTGAAACCAGGAAGGGTCAAGGACACCCCGGCACTTCCGACTGCCAGCCCAAACATGCCTACAATTTGGCACTTCGAATCTCACCCGGCTCAAGGCTGACTCAGCCTTCCATCCTTCCAAGATGGGTAAAATGAGGAGCCAGATTGTTGGGAGTAAAAGGGTGACTCTGTAAACCCCTTAGAGTGGGCTGTGAAGCCCTGTGGAGCGATATATAAGTCTAAGTGCTATTGCTCTCATTGGAATGAGAGTTAGAGGCTTCCCAAGCACAGGCCACGAAGAGGCCCTGCGAAATCTCAGATCTGGAGTTGGGGCACCAGGGTGCGTTTCAATG